TTTTTAAATATTCAACTCTATGTATATACATATAATATAATAACATATATAATTATAGTTTTTTTATTTCAAGTGTACGTGTGTGTGTTGCAATATCAATTGTTTTATTATATAAATAAAGTCGAAATAATTTTGTGTAAAAATACGTTTTATATTAAAAAATTACACACACACACACACACATATATATATTTTTTTTTATTTATATATATTTTTCCATATTATTATTATTTTACTTTTTTTTTAATATTCTAAGAAGTGGACATATAACATCAATAGAATATTCTTATAATATTAAAAAATATTACATAACATTCTTAAAATATTATAAAAATATTATTTTAATATTCAATAATATTCTAGGAATATTACGCGCTTATAGGATAATGCTTGCTTCTGCCACATTAGATAAATATATAATTATAAATATTATGTGAATGATATGAATTATAAATATCGACTAAAACTTGCATCCTCACCACACATTATTTTACTCATCTTTTTTCGCGAAGATAGTTCACTTTTCCACCAGCTCGAGCTCGATCGATACGAGCTGAGATATCATTGACCCCGGTAGACTGGTTCCTTTCTCCTCAGCCGCCCTCGTTTCACCCCTTTCACCACGCTCGCCTTTCATCGGATGCGCGCGTGCTCCACATCCATTCATACGCGAAATGTACTATCACCGTTACTACGCGATTCTACTATCCGTTTCGCCGACGTGACCCTTCCACGGTGTTATTCACGACAATCAATTTACTACAAATTCGTGACGAACCACGTTATTATGGATTAGTACGAGATATGTTGAATCATCAATTTGTCTGTCTGTATGTCTGTCTATATCTGCAGTGCAGACGTAATGACTAGAATAACACAAATATTACCTCTTATACAGTAGCCCTTATACAGTAGCAAATAATAACTGCTTACTATATAAAAGAAAAATAAAAGTATGTGCCCGAATGAATAAATTATTACACGGGGAAAATTAATTTTGCTATTAAAACTATCGTTACTGCATATTTGTTGTGACAGCGAGAAAATTTAATTGACATAACCAAATTAGCGAATTATTCGTATTTAGAGCAGAAATTTGTTGACAGAATAGACAAGTTTTGTTGAGTAAGTTTGTTCTTACACAATAATTTGTTGTTAGAACAAAATAATGTTTTTCTTCATTTACCATAATTTGTTTTTACGGTGAAATAATTTTTAAATTCAATAAAATAATCCAGCGAATGGCGATTTATACTTTTAACAAATTGTTTTGTCACCCACATAGCAATTGGCGAATTTTGCTGGGACAATATAAAATATGCTGTATCAGTAAATCACTTTTCTCTGTGTATATATTCTTACATCTCTCTTTGTCATATACTAAACTCAGAAATATCCACGTATATAAATGTGACTAATTTGTTTATTTCTCAAGAATATAATTAGCTCATTTTGAATAATAATACAGCGCAACACAGAGATTCGATGTTTTAAATATTTTTTTCTATCCTCCAGGAGTTCGACAAAATTGTAAGGTCCTTTGTAGTTTGTAAGGGTGGGACTTCCCTTTTACGATCGCACGTGCATGCACAGGACCGTGTAAAATCAGAGCTTGGGTGATACCTCGCTTCGGGACAATAGTGATAATTATTTAATATCTTCAAGATGAAATATTTTCGTGAACATAAATTTATTTATTTTACCTTCCCTTCTTTCGTTCCTCAAATTTAACATCGATCAATTAATTACGTACTCTTCTGAAATGAAAAAAAAATCTTTCAGGTCTCATTCCTAAGGGGAGCTTCCCTTTCACAGCCGGTCCTGACGGGAGTACTCGGGAATACACACGCGCTGCGTTCATTGTATAGTCCGTGCGTGTGTGTGTGTGTGTGTCGCGTGTGAACGTAGTCGCACGTTATTCATTCGCCTGGCAGCTTGCCGTTCCAAGATGGAGAGAAAACAACGTCTTGACTGCTCTCGTGCAAGGTGGTTGTAAATATAGACCGGGCAGCATCGATGATTCTGTTGGTTTTCCCGTGAAATCGGCGTTAGGACACGCGCAATGGCGAGATCCGTGCTGAGTTCAGATACGTTACCAAAAGCGGGTCGTGTTAACGAGGGTAGGATATATTGGTTCTTTTCCTTTTCTATCGTAAGGACGCCTTCTGTCACAAGGTCTGTTCGTTTGACGCATACCACATGTAGCAATTTTCTCTATTGTACTAACAATACTTGTCCATGTGCGTTTCTTATTAAAAAAAAAAAAAAAAATATCGCGCATATAGAGCGTAATTCCAAATTGATGAAATTGAATCGTAAATTTCAGTTATCCGAAGTTACATTAATCTGACACTATATTTATCTCAAACGATATTTTTTTAGAAATTAGAAGTACTGACAGATATCCTCGATAAGATATGAAATATCTCGTTCCGACGAAATGTCTGTACCATTTTCTTTATTCCGTCCTAGTGAAACGCGAATGTATCTTTACTTTGTTTTAAGTGTAAAAAGTACAAGAAAGTGTAACCGGACGAACAGGCCAGTCTTGACAGCGCATGATTAGTCATTGCATTGGTATTTCTAATCTAATTGCCGTACTTGTCGCGATGTGGTTACAGTATGCCGTGAATGGTTAGTACACGAGGATGGAGCACTGGCTTATCGACTTCAGGACGAAGAAAGTATGAAAAAATTGAAACATATATGTTATCCTTGTCATTATATGCAAAGAATGTTAGATTTCTGCAGGAGTGTCTTAAGATTTTCCATCGCCCACGAGGGTGCAGGCATAATAACGATGATAAACATTTTGTTATTAAATTTAAGAATTAACGTTTGGAAAACGGAAAATGAGTTATAAACAATTCCCGACGCAAATAGAAAATATTATTTTTTTCCTGAATATTTTGTATAGAAAGAATTGAAAATAAATAAGTCATTGCGAATATATGCTTGCACTAAGCTCTATTATAAAATATATATTTGTATGTTTAATAATATAAATATATGTATAGGAAAGATCACAAATGGAAATTGGGTAGTTTTACATATACATCTGTTATTAATATTTGCAGTAAATATTAGTATGTGATTTTTTATTACAATTTACAGTCAAAGAGCACTATACTGGTAACAAAGTGCGTAATGCACAAGTGAGGGAAGACTTGCCACGGGCTAAGGTAGAACAAGAATTGGAGGCTTTGAAATATCAAAACTACGTTCAACAACAGTAAGTAACTCTGTTTTCTTAATGATACTCAATGGTTTAATACGAGAGACGATAGTTTTGTGAAATATCGTTTTCTTTCATCTAAAGGGAGGAGAGAGACGCACTTGTTGCCAGACAAATCGCACTTTCTTTAGATCGAGAGGAAAGACAGAAGGAGCGTGAGCTGCAGGAGCTGATGAGATTACAGCTAAGGCTTGGAGATGAAGCTATGCAACAAGAGATCGAAAAGCGTGTTCAGGAAGAAAAAGATGAGGTATGTTATAAAGTTGCATAAGTTATCCCGAAGTTAGACCGATCAACTTCGGCTGATTATAAAGAGCAATCAGAAAGAGTAATTTTTGTCAATAAATCTATATTCTCAAATGAGCTGTCTTGGTACTATCCAGTTAACACCAATTAACAGTAACATTACAATATGTAATTTTATGGTGTGTCCTTTATACGCATCCGAAGTTTGTCGGTTTAATTTCGGGACACCATGTATGTCACTCTTTATGTTAGTTATATAAATGATTCAGAAGACGTTGAGATTAACGAAAGCAGTTATTGATTTCTCTTACATCTATAGCATAAATAATCACGCGTTGGAGCAGAGGATGCACACACGTGTTGAAATTTGTTTTATTCCGACAGGAACTGGCGAGGAAGCTTCAAGAAGAAGAGGAAGAGACTCACGACGGGCCGGTGGATGACCAATTGATGTTGGATCAAAAATTAGCGATGGAAGCGCAAGATGCCGAGTATGCACGAATGCTCCAGGATAAGGAGCGCGCCAAGGCGCGTAAAGCGCGAGAGAGAGCGAGGCAAAAGAAACTGGAGCGCGAACGTCAGCAGCAACAGTTGGACGACCAGAATCTCGCAGAGCGACCGCAAAGACCGGACAAGCTAGACCTGAGGACTCCGCCGGTCAAGAGTCGTGTTCGTCAGCATAATTCGAACTATCCTCATCAATATTCGGACTTGGAGGAGATTCAAACTTTGGACGAGCCTCAAGTCGATGATGTGCGAGAAGTAGCCAATGTCGCAACCATCATCGATCCCACCTATAACGCGCATCGAAACATATCGAGCAGCTCGAGCAGCACAATAAGTCCAACTTACGCCTTGCCGACGCCACCTCAGGAATTGATGCCCGATGACGTGCCCTGTTATATGCCAATCCAGGGCCAACGACGGAATCAGACCCAATCCTTGACCAATGGCCATGAGGAGAAGCATAAACGACGCGTTAAAGACGGTTGTAAGCATCAGTGAAGAATACCACAAGTTAAAATTAGTATTTCCTACAAAAGAAAATTGTCCTATTCTCTTTTAATTGCCGGATCGAACATTAGTGAACAGTATTCGTTTCTAAGATTCTAAGATTCGTCTGAGAAGTTTCACCGAACACATTATGTTAACAAGCATCGATAGTGCGTTTATCAAGATTCTTTTCATCGTTTTTTTTTCTTTCTTCATGTTACATTGATAGCGCTATTATGTTTTGCCATATCGGTGATGTAATTCGCATTGTGCGAGGCATAAAACGTGCCTTTCTCAAAGGGCATGCAAGTTCGTGACGGCCTTGATACAAATTAACGAATTACTCGAGTAATCAATTGAGGAAGATTGATGATATTACGATTGTTGATCGACCCGAACGGATCGATTGTACCGTCCTTGATCTTATATTTGCATTTTTCGCGCCCACTCACTGTGGAATATATCTGAAGAAGAGATATTACCGATAAGAATCACTTTATTACGGTTATCCTCGTCAGTATTAGGATTTTCGACACTTTTAACAGAGAGTAAAAAAAAGACAAAGATATCGTAGACAATCAGGGAATTTGTAAAGGAAAGTTTGTGAGAGATTTATCGTTTGCATTTTAATGCATTTAGATCTGGCGGCAGACAGGCAGCGACAGGTGTACAAATGTTAATTGACTGAAAAAGTTTATCACGGCAACTCTCGTAATTCATAGAACAATCGAATATACAGAGTCTAACTGAAGTGCAAACGAGCAAGTTGTGATGAAAGAATGACGGATTTGTGTAAAAATTTTCATAAATCTTTTTCACGATGCGCTGTGAATGTGAAATGACATTTGACTGTATGTTGTTCAATCGGAATCGCAACTTGCTCTTGTAGAATACAACCGTATATTTCTGCTACACGCTGTGTGCACCGGGGCTCTCTCTAAGTAGACAGCGGCATTAATTCGATGTGTAATAATACATCGCGAGTATTTCAAACCCCCGTTTATAGTTAGTAAGATAGAACATAGAGAATGACAACACTGCCAAAGATAACACTTTAATGCTGGCCTTTAAACAGATAGAACGAAAGTGTTAATACGGAAGACACGTACACGCGTGCGTTAAGCGTATGTAACGATATATACCAACGAGTGAGCTATATATTGCAATCTGTCCCTCTTCCTCCGAACTTTGAAACGCAAACAAGCCTTTAAAACGCTTAGCCATATTGCTGATTGTATTTCAATGAGACGTGGTTAAAATGCGGAAGTGTCACGAAAAGTACACAAGTTGTCATGTCCCTTGAAAAGATACCCGGGGGAAAAAATTCCTCATATATAATTATATATAGAATATAAATATATATATATATATATATA